TTGTTTGCGAGTTAGGAGAAAAAGGTAAAGCTTAATCTGAAAGAGCTAACCATAAACGAATCAATCACTAAATTTTTGTGGTGACTTCCGAAAGTTTTTATCATCGTAGAGTCCTAACCAACAAAAGGTTGTATGAAGCTTCATTAACTTTTTAGCATATGGAGTATTAGTAATGCTTACATTAATTATGTTGTCATTATTCCTTATACGATGTTTGATTTGATGCATTAGAAATAACAAGTCTAATTTAGTGTAGGTACTTTTCATTGTATGAATTTAAATATCTGCCTTTTTCTCATAACTCACGAACAGCCTCGTCTAATTTCTTATCAAGATATGGTGTTTCTATAGTTATTTTCCAAAGCAAAGAATGATCCTCCTCTTTTTCTAAAGTACCGCTACTTTTAACTTGTCCCTCCTCATTAGTACTTCTCATTCTCTTAGACATTTTTGCTTCACTTTTTTCTATTAAAGAACCTACTGCTTGATCTTGATAAGTCTAAGAGCAATTCACTATGCTTTTTCCCTTTCTGTCCTGCACTTTCTTAGGACAATATGTGTTGTCCATTACAAAACTTTATTAACCATGTAGGATTGTGATATTTCATATGCCTTGTTATTGTAGTTCTTCACGTGTTTTCATACATCCTTGAGTTTCATTGATGAAATGGACGACTTCTGAAAAATTAAGCATCCTCGTTGTGTTGTTGCTTCTTTTACCATTTCTATCGTCCTAATTTTCAAAAAAATTGTTCCTCGTACTAATAATTGCCAACATTTATAAAATAAAGTCAAACTAATTTCACCTATGTAAGAAAATTCAAGTATATATAATGGTGAAAAACAAATTTCAACTTAAATATCCAATGGTTAGGACAACACATCTTGTCCTAAGAAAGTGCAAGATAGAAAGGGAAAAAGCATAGTGAATTGCTCTGAGACTTAATAAGATCAAGCAATAGGTTCTTTAATAAAAAAAGATGAGGCAAAAAGGTCTAAGAGAATGTGAATTACTAATGAGGAGGGACAAGTTAAAAGTAGCGTTACTTTAGAATAAGAAGAGGATCATTCTTTGCTTTCGAAAATAACCACAAAAGAAAAGACGACACTTGCAATAGACACCAGATCTTGATAAGAAAATAGACGAGGTTGTTTGCGAGTTAGGAGAAAAAGGTAAGGCTTAATCTGAAAGAGCTAACCATAAACGAATCAATCATTAAATTATTGTGGTGACTTTCGAAATTTTTTATCATCGTAGAGTCCTAACCAACAAAAGGATGTATGAAGCTTCATTAAATCTTTACCATATGGAGTATTAGTAATGCTTACATTAATTATGTTGTCATTATTCCTTATACGATGTTTGATTTGATGCATTAGAAATAACATGTCTAATTTAATGTAGGTACTTTTCATTGTATGAATTTAAATATCTGCCTTTTTCTCATAAATTGCGAACAGCCTCGTCTAATTTCTTATCAAGATCTGGTGTTTCTATAGTTATTTTCCAAAGCAAAAAATGGTCCTCCTCTTTTTCTAAAGTACCGCTACTTTTAACTTGTCCCTCCTCATTAGTACTTCTCATTCTCTTAGACCTTTTTGCTTCATTTTTTTCTATTAAAGAACCTACTGCTTGATCTTGATAAGTCTAAGAGCAATTCACTATGCTTTTTCCCTTTCTGTCTTGCACTTTCTTAGGACAATATGTGTTGTCCATTACAAAACATGATTAACCTTGTAGGATTGTGATATTTCATTTGCCTTGTTATTGTAGTTCTTCACGTGTTTTCATACATCCTTGAGTTTCATTGATGAAATGGACGACTTCTGAAAAATTAAGCTTCCCCCTTGTGTTGTTGTATCTTTTACCATTTCTATCGTCCTCATTTTCAAAAAATTGTTCCTCGTACTAATAATTTTCAACATTTATAAAAAAGTCAAACTAATTTCATCTATGGAAGAAAATTCAAGTATATATATTGGTGAAAAACAAATTTCAACTTTAATAACCAATGGTTAGGACAACACATCTTGTCCTAAGAAAGTGCAAGATAGAAAGGGAAAAAGCTTAGTGAATTGCTCGGAGACTTAATAAGATCAAGCAATATGTTCTTTAATAAAAAAAGATGAGGCAAAAAGGTCTAAGAGAATGTGAATTACTAATGAGGAGGGACATGTTAAAAGTAGCGTTACTTTAGAAAAAGAGGAGGATCATTCTTTGCTTTCGAAAATAACCACAAAAGAAAAGTCGACACTTGCAATGGACACCAGATCTTGTTAAGAAATTAGACGATGTTGTTTGTGAGTTAGTAGAAAAAGGTAAAGCTTAATCTGGAAGAGCTAACCATAAACGAATCAATCACTAAATTTTTGTGGTGAATTCCGAAAATTTTTATCATCGTAGAGTCCTAACCTACAAAGGGTGTGTGAAGCTTCATTAACTTTTTGACATATGGAGTATTAGTAATGCTTACATTAGTTATGTTGTCATTATTCCTTATACGATGTTTGATTTGATGCATTAGCAATAACAAGTCTAATTTAGTGTAGGTACTTTTCATAGGTTCTTTAATAGAAAAAGATGAGGCAAAAAGGTCTAAGAGAATGAGAAGTACTAATGAGGAGGGACAAGTTAAAAGTAGCAGTACTTTAGAAAAAGAGGAGGATCATTCTTTGCTTTCGAAAATAACGACACTTGCAATGGATACCAGATCTTGATATGAAATTAGACGAGGCTGTTTGCGAGTTAGTTACAAAAGGTAAGGCTTAATCTGGAAGAGCTAAGCATAAACGAATCAATCACTAAATTTTTGTAATCTGACAGTTGTAATTTGAAGGTTAAACTTGTTCGAGTTACCAAGAGAGAGCACGAGATTACAAACTTATAGTTTTTCCCTCAATCATATAACAATCATTATCATGAGAGATGATCTCCTGGAACGGGAGATCTTGAAAGCATGAGCTGTTTCACGTTGCATTCTCACTTGAAACATCATTGTTTTCTTCATTTGCAACAATCATATCATCTGGCAATGGTTCCTGGATGACAGATAGTATCCATATTTCAGATCAAAAGTAATGAAATCGAATATATGAATTTGTTACAAGTCTAAGAAAGTAAGAGGGAACTAGTAGTTAAATGACGATACAATTGGGACACTGGGAATATGCAAGAACCCGAGAAGTGACAACTCAATGCTGAGTAGCACTTTTCTCTTTGGCAGTAGATATATATAAGACTAGTTAACTACGTGAAATATGCTTCATAATTATGTGCAATCCTTTATAAATTTATATACCTTACCCGTTGTGTAAACAGTGACTACAATTCCTTTTGGTAGAATGGGTAAAAGCAGGTGATGTGTGATTGTGAAGGTTTTACATCTTAATTTATTTTGTTTGATCACTTCAGAATGAGATTACAAATGGGAGCACTGAGTGAATGCAACACATCACCGACGAGAGAACATTGAGACTGCAAAAAGGCTGACAAACTTTTGACTACACCAAGTCAGATTCAATGGTTTAAACTTTAGAGGCCTATCCTTTGTAGACAGCTAACCCGGTCCGAGAAGCAACACTCTTTCTCACATATGTACTTATGGTACACCTACCTCCAAATTCAGTCTATGATAAACTCCTTTTTTTGATGAGCTATCTATCATCTATAGATCTAACTTATATTTAGAAACTGCCTTATCCTGTGTGGACTGCTAGCTAACCAGGTTTGGAGGACCAACCCTCTTTCTCTCAGCCATATACAATCTACGAGCACCACCCTTCAATCTCCTCTAAGTAGGATTAGTAGTGGCCTCAAACAAAAATAACAAACTAGTTACATAATTTGTGCCAAAAACTCCTACATCTAATTGCTCTTTTGGTATTCTTATACATTTCTATCCTTACTACAATTTCACGTGTAATATCCCTCACTATATCAGCATGTTGAATATTTGTTCCTTTGAATTGTTTCCAGTTCCTTGCTTTCCAAATGTGGTATACCATAGCTCCCCATAGGGCTGTTATCACTTCCTTTTGAACTTCTTCCAATGCTTCTTTTTTATCATCTCCAAAGTGCATTTTTGTCTAGGATTGTCTCGTTTTTGTGATGAGCTGTCTCTAACTTCCATTTAGAAACTTCCTTTTTTATTAGTTAAGTACATGTTTATCAAATATTAAAAGATGGATATGTTGAGTTGCAGGAAGAGATACGAGAAAAGTGATAGTTAACAAATTATTCATCTCAGAAACACCACACAAAGAAGGCAACAAACCAGAACAGATCTTAACAGAACAAACTTTCAACGAAGAATGCTAGACCAAAAGCCTTACCAGACAATTGGATGCACCCTCTGCGTTCTCTTTTGCTGTTTCGGGTATATCATTGCTAACATATTCATTTGCATTGGCTTCACTTGTGGACTTGTGCTAAAGATAGAATACAAGTCAGCTACCACTGACATTATTTCCTTCAATACTGTCTAATTTAAAAGGTATCTGACCAAACGTATAGAAGCTGCATAGAACTAACCTCTAACGTTGTGGAGAAACCGCCATTTTCTGGCTGGTTTTCATTACTGGAAGACCTGTTTTGCTGAGATAACTCACTGCTGCCAATATTTACAGTATCTTTGGTATTGCTTATATCACTCAAGCTGAACTTTCCACCATCACACTCATTCCCCTGCAACATTTCAAAATGTTTACAGATTCAATTTATGAGATACGACGATAATAACTTGAACAGCCAGTATGCCACATTCAGTGTGAACCATATAGTTTTAAGCTTATACTTTCATTGTTACCCAAATAAATTCTCCATTGTCAATTTGGTGATGACTATCAATTAATCAACCTCTCCTTAACCCAACCTACCTGACCTGGGTCAACCATACGAGTCCTCAATATGTTCCACTCTATCGGGTATATTTTTCATTCTAAAAAGTATAAAAACAAATTGGGGGTTCTCTAACTAAAGGTTCTCTACTCACATTTATCCCTACAAGACCTAATGTAACTACGGCAACAACAATCATGCCTTAATCCCAATTGGTGATGACTATGTCCAATTAAAACCCAATGGAATATCAGTAATTAACCTGAGCCTTCAAAATTTATCAGAAGATTCACCAAGCTTACAGCATAGAAGCCTATATGCACCATCCAAGAATTTCATAAATGACCTGACCACAAGCCTTATGTGGCCGCCTTTTGTTTGTGTTGACTATAACAATTGAATGCAGAACAAGTGCTCCACAAACCTACTATCTCTTCCTCCACCTTTTCTTACCCAGTAACACACAAGACAACGAAATTCCCCACTATCACGGTTCTCATCACAATACTATCACAACACAGCATCCTCCCCAAAATTTAACAAAAAAAAGTTAATCCCTCCATCCCATTTTATGTGGCAACATTTGACCGGGCACGGAGTTTAAGAAATAAATTAAGACTTTGAAATGTTTACCAAATTGCCCCTTCAAAAAATAGTCATATTAAAAAGTAGACTCACTTTTCTCTCTCCACATAAATGTATTGGAGTACTATTTTAAGATTAAGTGGGACCAACAAGGGTAAAAGAGGAATTGTACCTTTAAATACTTACCATATAAGGAAATGGTGCCACATAAAATGGGACGGAGGGAGTATAATCTAGGCGTCCCCTCTTCCACCTCGGTAACATCATCCTCAGCATTGTCTGAGTACTCAAATATTCAGATACAGCCTTCAGAGCCTGAGGGCCTCGTTAACGACTAAATGGGTCAATTCTTCAGGAGTGGGCAAATGTGTTTGTGATTTTGGGGCATCATTACATTTTTGGACAGCTAACTAGGTCCCAGAAACAACCCTCTCTCTCACAACCATAATCATGGGCCAGATCATTCCACAATCTTGTCTAGAAATTAAAACCGACACCTTTTTCATGATGAGCTATATATCATCTATAGGTCTAACTTTTATTTAGAAAAGCCTATCCTGTGTGGAGTTGTAGACGGCTAAACAGGTCGGAGAACCTACCTTCTTTCTCACAGGTCACAACCATACTCGCAGGTAACATACCTTCACAATCTTATTTAGGATTGATTCCTTTTTGTGATGAGCTATCTTTCATCCACAGATCTAACCTATATTTAGAAAACCTTCTAAGATATAAATAGTTAACTACATTTTATAAAATATTAAACACTAGATATATAAGAGTTTCTGGAAGAACTGCTCACAGTAAAGTGGTAGTTCACAATTTTTTATTTTATATCTTGGGATAAGGCACAAGTACCTCCGAAAAACCTGAAATCCTAGCGACACACATAAACTTAACTAGGGTCATATTAACCCTAAACTATTTTAAAATTGAATAAATGTCACCCTAAATGTTGATGTGGCATGATAACCAAATGAGTATCCTCTGTGTGTATTACACGCGCTTCACAATTTTTAAAGCATTAAATCTCTTTTTGTTTCCATTAAAATCCCTTTCTCTTTCTTCATTCTGAATCTATAGTTAGCCGCCATGTCATTTGTACCTCTTTTGTCATTAGTTCCAGAACTAGGTCTTCTTACAGATCTGGTTCTTTTACACCTCAACTTGAATCGTTTTTGTGTTGAGATCTAGTTTTTCAAAGAAAAGTAAAAATGGTGAGATTATGTGTTGGAATGCGAGGGTTTTTACTCCGATTGACGATTGACAACCAGAGAAGACGCCGGAGAAACAGAAAGTTCATCCTCATTCTCAGCTCCTAACTCATCACCCACAACCTCAGACTCGTATTCATTTCCGCTAACATTCAAAGAATCCTTCCCAAAAACCCCAATTCCCTAAAAACGCTTCTTCACTAAGCACCGAAGAATTATGAGTTACCACTTACCACAGCAGAAGCCAGAAAAGGACTGAAAGAAGACACACCATGTCTAAGACGAACATGAAAGTGGAATTTTTCATTGGAGAAAGGAAGAGATAAAGGAGGGGTAGCAGTGGATCTTCGAGAAAGTTTGATCTCAGAAACACAAACTAAATAAGGTAAGTAACCTAGAAGTAGGTTTTCATGGAACCACTTTTCAACGACCAAAAGTCTTACCGGACAATTGGATGCACCCTCTGTGTTCTCTTTTGCTGTTTCAGGAATCTCATTGCTGACATTGGCTTCAATTACGGAGTTGTGCTAAAGAAAGAATACAAGTCAGCTACCACTGACATAATCTTATCCAATACTTTATAAGACCAAGCATATAGAAACTGCATAAAACTAACCTCTAATGCTGTGGAGCCACCACCATTTTCTTGTTGGTTTTCATTACTAAAAGACTGTTTTTGCTGAGATAATTCATCAGTGCCAACATTTACAGCATCTGTTGTATTGCTTAGACCACTCAAACAATCTTTACCACCAGCATCCTCATTCCCCTGCAATGTTTTATTGGATCCATCATTCGAATTGGCCAAACTTGAAGTCTGAAGTTCGGAGCCTAATATCTGAAGATAGACCCTAGTCGAACAGAATACTATTTCCGTTTATGATTACTTGGTGTGAATACAAACAGTTGACTTTTCTAGAATAGACAGAATTCTTTTTGTCTCTTCATTTCATGAAATATATTCTGGTTCTATCTCATGTACTTCCTAGGGCTTTCCCCTATTCTCTCTCAACTTCCTGTTTGATTCTTGGTATTTGCATATTTTCAAAAAATCAAGACATACAATTTATGGGACAGCAATACTTGAACAGACAGTATTTTTCTTTGCTTGGCTAAACCAATGCAAACTAGAATGGTTGAGCTTATGCCTTCATGGTTTTCCTCTATGATTATTGTCATTAATATGATATTACCATTGAAGCCAATTTATTGGCATTAAGTCTAATAGACAAGGCTTTCTGGCTAATGGGTTTCTGATTATGAGTAATTTTGTGACCATTGGAGCCTTTTTTCTTATTGGTAATATTTTTATTTTATTTTATGACAGGGGAAACCACAGCCGCTACCTTTTGTGTGCCCATTGAGTAGAAACTTTGTTCCTATGCAATAGCTCACAAACCACACATGAGAGGTAACCCTTATTGGTAATATATTAAAAGAAAAATTCTTCTTCTTATAGTAGATTGTGTTGGGTTTTTCACAAATTGAGTCCTTGTCAATTTCTGTGCTCCTAATTTTATATACACCCAAGGACAGTCTTTTGACACGCCTCAAGCTATGAGAATTCCCTATATCAGTGTTCATGATGAAGTATTTTTCTTAAAATTTCCATCATTCTCGATGGACAAAACAAGCAATCAATCAGTTGCCCAAACAAACTAGATCAACAATATAAATTCTCTATCTGTTCCACTCTTTCGGGGCACATTTCATACTAATCTCTATAATACATAACACAAACTTAACAATAACGACAATGCCTTGATAAATCCAATGAAATAACAGTAAATTACCTGAGCCTCCACCGGTTTATCAGAAGATTCACTAGGCTTACCACCTGCAGACAAAACAATGGATGGAAGCCTATTAATATCCCATCCAAGAATTCGACAAATGACCTGACCATAAGCCCTATGTGCCTGCCTCATGTTCGATATAGTAATCGAATGCTGAACAAGACCCACACAATCCTTAAACCTCTTACTCCACCCTTTCTTACCAACCCCACTACACACAAGACAAATAAATTCCCCACCGCTCTCATTGTTCTTCTCATAATACTCTCTCAACCCACCATCCTCCTCAAACAACTTGGCGAAAAAGTTCATTTTTTTCTCCTCCTTTTCCACTTCCATATCATCATCATCATCATACATCTCCTCCTCATCATCATCAACTGAGTACTTCAAATACTCCGATACCGCCTTCAACCCCTGTTGCTGAGCCCGGTTCCCAGCAACACTAGCCAATTCTTCAGCAGTGGGCAACTGGGGTTGCAAACTTGGTTGTGCAGTGAAACTGGGCCAGCCGGAATCAGTGACTGGAGATGATTCAGCAGGAATTGGAAAAACCCATCCAACACCAGAATCTATTAAAGCTTCCTTCAGCCTTTTGGATTTCTGCTTATTTTGTTTCTTAAACTGAGTAGAACCGGAGGGTTGTAGACTCACTGGGGTTTGGGGGTGGAGATTGGGGTGGACATGGGGGTGAGGGGGACCTTGATGCCATAAAGAATGGAGGTATCGAACTTCTTCTATTAATCTCTGCTCATCGTAAGGATTCATTGGAAAACGTGACATTTTTTACAACTTGAGCAGAAGAGCTTTGGGTAGCTACTGTAAAAATGCCAGGGAATTGCCGGAAAATGAAGGGTTTGGAGCGAAATCTCGATTCCGGTGAAGAAAAATGGTTTCTTGACGGGAACTGAGAAGGATTTCGGGCTGCTCTGTTTTCCAGATTCGATTTTTCAAAAATATTGAATATTCCTTCAATTTCAATTGTATTTATATGGTTTCAACTTTAAACAAAATTTGGGCTAAATTTTATTTAAAATATCTATTGGTTAATATATTATCCTTAGTCGTCTTATAATTAATGAAATAGTAATTTTGACATACATATAATTACATATTAGGGGCTAAAGTCAAACCTTAAAGCAGGCCTTAATATTTCTTTTAATCTTTTTTCTTTGAAAAAAATATTATATATATTTTTATTTAAATTTTCTTGGTTTACACCCATTGTTCGGAGTCCGCATTAGAGCCGAATAAATTTGGACAGATTCGAATTTAGTTGGGGCTCTCCGAACAACAGGTGGAAACCAAAAAAAAAAGTCAAGCTTGGACCTAAATTGTTTTCCTTTTTTTCTTTCTTAACCACTCTTTGTTTATTTAATTACCACCAACCCAAAATCCTCCTTTTCAGTTCTCGATTTATGCTTTGAAGAACCTATTTTTTCATTGAAATTGGAGATTTTGCTCCAAACCCTTCAGTTTTCGACGATTCTCCGATATTTTTACAGTATCAAACGAAAACCCTTTTGCTCAAATAGTTCAAAAATGTCACGTTTTCCAATGAATCGTTATGATGAGCAGAGACTAATATAAGAAGTTCGCTACCTCCACTCTTTATGGCATCAAGGTCCCCCCCACCAACTCCACTCCATGTCCACGCCAATCTCCATCCCCAAACCCCATTGAGTCTACAACCCTCCGATTCTACTCAGTTCTAGAAACGAAATAAGCAAAAATCGAAAAGGTTGAAGGAAGCTATAATAGATTTTGATGTTGAATGGATTTGTCCAACTCCTGCTGAATCGGCTTCGATCACGAAATTTGACTGGCCCAGTTTCACTGCACACCCTAATTCGCATCCCCATTTGCCACCTGCTGAAGAATTGGCTAGTGTTACTAGGAAGCGGGCTCAGGAACAGACGTTGAAGGCGGTATCAGAGTATTTGAAGTACTCTATTGATGATGAGGAGGAGGATATGTATGAGAATAGGATGATGATGTTATGGAAGTGGAAAATGGTGAGAAAATTTTAAACTTTTTCACGAAGTTGTTTGTTTGAGAGAGATAGTGGATTGAGAGAGTATTATGCGGAGAACAGTGAGAGTGGTGGGGAATTTATTTGTCTTGTGTGTAGTGAGATTGGTAAGAAAAGGTGGAGTATGAGGTTTAAGGATTGTGTGGATCTTGTTCAGCATAGCATTCGATTACTATATCGAACATGAGGCAGGCGCATAGGCTTATGGTCAGGAGCTGAGAATGAGGATTACGGACCGTAGCTACCATCAGTGGAATTTATATTAAATTTTATCCTACAGATCCAAACTACGACTCACAGAAGTTTCTATGGACCATAGATCCCATCCATAGAATTTATATTGAATTTTAAGGCTCAAAAGCTCATTCTACGGGTCCAAACTACGGCCCGTGGAAGGTTCTACAACCCGTAGATGGGTCTGTAGGAATTGGACCCCCAAATTTGACTCTCTGAAGTTCTTCCACGACTTGACAGTATAACGACCCGTAGAAGGGTTTCATAGTTCACCGCTTCAGAAAACTTTGTTGTGGCAGTCTCTGGTAAGGCGGCCATAACTTTTTACTTCAAATTCAAAATGAGACAAACTTGATGGCGTTGAAAAGACTACTCATAAACCTTTAATTTGATAGGTCATGAACCATTTAATTCATTATATGCTGAGAGATATGATCATTTAAAGTTGATCTAAGTAGAATCTTACATCAAAACTTACTCGATAAGGAAACTTTCCACTCAACTTTGTGTTAGGGGATTCTAGTGATCTTAATTCATATCAAAATTCATTCACAAACTAAATAATTCAACTAATCACCTAAGAATCACTCGATATGACATTTTTGCATAATGAAGAATGGTTTAGGCCTTAGCTTGGAAAGTTTAGGGATGTAACAATTCCTTTGTTACCATTTAATTTGAAATGACCGCCACATCAATGTGAGTCTTAGTTCTGCTTTCTGACTTTTCCTTTCGATTTTCAAAATAATGGTATATGCAAGAGATAGTGAAACTTGTAGTCAATAACCTGATGCATAAAATATCATAAATTACACTTCAATAAGCTAAGAAACTTCTAAAATCCTTCTTTTACTACAGCTGAATGTTTGAAACCAGAAAATGACTTCATTGTCATAATAATTTGTTCTTTACTCAAAATCTACAGTATATTAGTCAGCTGATGATAGTCAAAGCTCATCATCAATGGCTGACTTCTTCCATTTTCTTAGTTTATTTCTTGATATCCTTATTTTCCATAGCAACCCCCCATAGTACTTCTTCTCTTTATAGATCCCAACTCATCACTTAGCAATAATCTTCACCCAAAAATGCCACCCACAACTTTTTTTGAAGTCACAAAACCTAGACAATTACCCAAAACCAAACCTTGTTCATACTTAATTCTCATAACAAGTACCTAAAGAATCATAGTGAACTTTGATGGGAGTTTCTCTTGAAGCAATAATACGTTGATGTAGTCGCCACCGTAACCACCAAGGACTATCTAAATTGATTCTGGTAAAGGTGATTGGTGATGTTTGTAATGAATAATGATTAGAGGTAACTGGCAATGCAGGTGAATTGTGGTGGTTGTGCGATGAAAATTGAAGGTAGATGTATTCGCAGGAGATGGCACGTATTTCATGAAATTAATCGAGATACATACCAGCCCCAGCCATCATATTTGTCAAAAAGAAAAAACATGGGGTACATAGATAATAACTAAAGCATAGGCCTCCCAAGTATAAACTTTCTCAATAGCACAGCCACTGATGAGTACATCTTCTCAATTACATTCATACAATAAAGACAAATCACTAAGGTATCATCAGATTTACAGTTATGTCTTCTCATACAAACTAATTTCACCTATAACTTCATTGAAAGAATGAATGTCTCTATTCAAATATCACTTGTAAAATTATATTTAGATATTTTTGTTGTTGTTATATACACCAATCATAGTTTTCTTCATCTTTATACTCAAAATCCATTTAGGAATTATTTGGTAAAATGTATAAAAATAATGTTGAATATGGAATATTAGTAATGCTTACATTAGTTATGTTGTCATTATTTCTTATACGATGTTTGATTTGATGCATTAGAAATAACAAGTCTAATTTAGTGTAGGTACTCTTCATTGTATGATTTAAAATACTTACCTTTTTCTCGAAACTCGCAAACAGCCTCGTCTAATTTCTTATCAAGATCTGGTGTTCATTGCAAGTGTCGTCTACTCTTCTATAGTTATTTTCGAAAGCAAAGAATGATCCTCCTCTTTTTCTAAAGTACCGCTACTTTTAACTTGTCCCTCCTCATTAGTACTTCTCATTTTCTTAGACCTTTTTGCCTCATAAAAGTACAGCTACTTTTAAATTGGCCCTCCTCACTAGTACTTCTCATTCTCTTAGACCTTTTTGCCTCATCTTTTTTCTATTAAAGAACCTACTGCTTGATCTTGACAAGTCTCGGAGCAATTCACTATGCTTTTTTCCTTTCTGTCTTGCACTTTCTTAGGACAAGATGTGTTGTCCATTACATAAACTTTATTAACCTTGTAGTATTGTGATATTTCATTTGCCTTGTTATTGTAGTTCCGCACGTGCTTCCATACATCCTTGAGTTTCATTGATGAAATGGACGACTTCTGAACAATTAAGCATGCCCCTTGTGTTGTTGCTTCTTTTACCATTTACATCGTCCTAATTTTCAAAAAATTGTTCCTAGTACTAATAATTGCCAACATTTATAAAATAAGTCCAACTAATTTCACCTATGGAAGAAAATTCAAGTATATATTTTGGTGAAAAACTAATTTCAACTAAAATATCCAACGTTTAGGAAAACACATCTTGTCCTAAGAAAGTGCAAGATAGAAAGAAAAATGCATAGTGAATTGCTCTGAGACTTATTAAGATCAAGCAGTAGGTTCTTTAATAAAAAAAAGATGAGGCAAAAAGGTCTAAGAGAAAGAGAAGTACTAATGAGGAGGGACAAGTTAAAAGTAGCTTTACTTTAGAAAAAGAGGATGATCATTCTTTGCTTTCGAAAATAACCACAAAAGAAAAGACGAAACTTGCAATGGACACCACATCTTGATAAAAAATTAGACGAGCTTGTTTGCGAGTTAGGAGAAAAAGGTAAGGATTAATCTAGAAGAGCTAACCATAAACGAATAAATTACTAATTTTTTGTGGTGACTTCCGAAATTTTTTATCATGGTAGAGGCCTAACCAACAAAAGGTGGGCGAGGCTTCATTAACTTTTCGACATATGGAGTATTAGTAATGCTTACATTAGTTATGTTGTCATTATTTCTTATACGATGTTTGATTTGATGCATTAGAAACAACAAGTCTAATTTAGTGTAGGTACTTTTCATTGTATCAATTTAAAATACCTGCCTTTTTCTCCTAACTCGCGAACAGCCTCGTCTAATTTCTTATCAAGATCTGATTACCATTGCAAGTGTGGTCTATTCTTCTGTAGTTATATTCGAAAGCAAAGAATGATCCTCCTCTTTTTCTAAATTACTGCTACTTTTAGCTTGTCCCTCCTCATTAGTACTTCTCATTCTCTTAGACCTTATTGCCTCATCTTTTTCTATTAAAGAACCTACTGCTTAGTCTTGATAAGTCTCGAAGCAATTCACTATGTTTTTTCCCTTTCTGTCTTGCACTTTCTTAGGACAAGATGTGTTGTCCATTACATAAACTTGATTAACCTTGTACTTTTGTGATATTTCATTTGCCCCGTTATTGTAGTTCTTCATGTGCTTCCATACATCCTTGAGTTTCATTGATGAAATTGACGACTTCTGAAAAATTAAGCATGCCCCTTGTGTTGTTGATTCTTTTACCATTTCTATGGTCCTAATTTTCAAAAAATTGTTCCTCGTACTAATAATTGCCAACATTTATAAAATAGGTCAAACTAATTTCACCTATGGAATAAAATTCAAGTATATATTTTGGTGAAAAACTAATTTCAACTAAAATATCCAACGGTTAGGACAACACATCTTGTCCTAAGAAAGTGCAAGATGGAAAGGGAAAATGCATAGTGAATTGATCTGAGACTTATCAAGATCAAGCAGTAGGTTCTTTAATAAAAAAAGATGAGATAAAAAGGTCTAAGAGAATGAGAAGTACTAATGAGGAGAGACAAGTTAAAAGTAGTGTTACTTTAGAAAAGAGGAGGATCATTATTTACTTTTGAAAATAACCACCACAGAAAAGACGACACTTGCAATGGACACTAGATCTTGATAAGAAATTAGACGAGGTTGTTTGCGAGTTAGGAGAAAAAGGTAATGCTTAATATGGAAGAGCTAACCCTAAACAACTCAATCACTAAATTTTTGTGGTGACTTCCGAAATTTTTTATCATGGTAGAGGCATAACTAACAAAATGTGTGTGAGGCTACATTAACTTTTTGACATATGGAGTATTAGTAATGCTTACATTAATTTTGTTGTCATTATTTCTTATACGATGTTTGATTTGATGAATTAGAAATAACAAGTCTAATTTAGTGTAGGTAATTTCAATTGTATGAATTTAAAATACCTGCCTTTTTCTCCTAACTCGTGAACAACCTCGTCTAATTTCTTATCAAGATATGGTGTCCATTGCAAGTGTCGTCTTTTCTTTTGTGGTCTTTCAATAGTTATTTTCGAAAGCAAAGAATGATCCTTCTCTTTTTCTAAAGTACCGCTACTTTTAACTTGTCCCTCCTCATTAGTACTTCTCATTCTCTTAGACATTTTTGCCTCATCTTTTTCTATTAAAGAACCTACTGCTTGATCTTGATAAGTCTCGGAGCAATTCACTATGTTTTTTCCCTTTCTGTCTTGAACTTTCTTAGGACAAAATGTGTTGTCCATTACATAAACTTGATTAACCTTGTAGTGTTGTGATACTTCATTTGCCTTGTTATTTTAGTTCTTCATCTGCTTCCATACATCCTTGAGTTTCATTGATGAAATGGACGACTTCTGAAAAACAAAGCATGCCCCTTGTGTTGTTGCCTCTTTTACCATTTCTATCGTCCTAATTTTCAAAAAATTGATCCTCGTACTAATAATTGCCAACATTTATAAAATAAGCAAACTAATTTCACCTATGCAAGAAAATTCAAGTATATATATTGGTGAAAAACAAATTTCAATTAAAATATCAAAAGGTTAGGACAACACATCTTGTCCTATGAAAGTGCAAGATAGAAAGGGAAAAAGCATAGTGAATTGCTCTGAGACTTATCAAGATCAAGCAGTAGGTTCTTTAATAAAAAAGATGAGGCAAAAAGGTCTAAGAAAATGAGAAGTACTAATGAGGAGGGACAAGTTAAAAGTATCGTTAGTTTGGAAAAAGAAAAGGATCATTTTTCCCTTTCGAAAATAAACACAAAAGAAAAGACGACACTTGCAATGGACACCAGATCTTGATAAGAAATTAGATGAGCTTGTTTGCGAGTTAGGAGAAAAAGGTAAGGCTAAATCTGGAAGAGCTAGCCATAAAAGAATCAATCACTAAATTTTAGTGGTGACTTCAAAAAAAATTTATCATGGTAGAGGCCTAACCAACAAAAAGTGTGTGAGGCTTGATTAATTTTTTGACATATGGAGTATTAGTAATGCTTACATTAGTTATGTTGTCATTATTTCTTATACGATGTTTGATTTGATGCATTAGAAATAACAAGTCTAATTTAGTGTAGGTACTTTTCATTGTATAAATTTAAAATACATGCCTTTTTCTCCTAACTCGTCAATAGCCTCGTCTAATTTCTTATCAAGATCTGGTTTCCATTGCAAGTGTCGTCTTTTCTTTTGTGGTATTTCTATAGTTATTTTCGAAAACAAAGAATGATCTTCCTCTTTGTCTAAAGTACCGCTACTTTTAACTTGTCCCTCCTCATTGGTACTTCTCATTCTCTTAGACCTTTTTGCTTCATCTTTTTCTATTAAAGAACCTACTGCTTGATCTTGATAAGTCTCGGACCAATTCATTAAGCTTTTTACCTTTCTGTCTTGCACTCTCTTGGGACAAGATGTGTTCTCCATTACATAGACTTGATTAACATTGTAGTGTTGTCATATATCATTTGCCTTGTTATTGTAGTTCTTCCCGTGCTTCCATACATCCTTGAGTTTCGTTGATGAAATGGACGATTTCTGAAAAATTAATCATGCCCCTGGTGTTGTTGCCTCTTTTACCATTTCTATCGTCCTAATTTTCAAAAATTTGTTCCTCGTACTAATAATTGCCAACATTTATAAAATAAGTCAATATAATTTCACCTATGGAAGAAAATCAAGTATATATATTGGTGAAAAACTAATTTCAACTAAAATATCCAACGGTTAGGACAACACATCTTGTTCTAAGAAAGTGCAAGATAAAAAGGGAAAAAGCATTGTGAATTGCTCTGAGACTTATCAAGATCAAGCAGTAGGTTCTTAAATAGAAAAAGATGAGGCAAAAAGGTCTAAGAGAATGAGAAGTACTAATGAGGAGGAACAAGTTAAAAGTAGCATTACTTTAGAAAAAGAGGAGGATCCTTCTTTGCTTTCGAAAATAACCACAAAAGAAAAGACGACACTTCCAATGGACACCAAATCTTGATAAGAAATTAGACGAGCTTGTTTGCGAGTTAGGAGAAAAAGGTTAGGCCTAATCTGGAATAGCTAACCATAAACGAATCAATCACTAAATTTTTGTAGTGACTTCCGAAAAGTTTATCATGGTAGAGGCCTAACCAACAAAATGTGTGTGCGGCTTCATTAACTATTTGACATATGGAGTATTAGTAATGCTTACATTAGTTATGTTGTCATTATTTCTTATACGATGTTTGATTTGATGCATTAGAAATAACAAGTCTAATTTAGTGTAGGTACTTTTCATTGTATGAATTTAAAATACCTGTCTTTTTCTCGTAACTCGCGAACAGCCTCGTCTAATTTCTTATGAAGATCTGGTGTCCATTGCAAGTGTCATCTATTCTTCTATAGTTATTTTCGAAAGCAAAGAATGATCCTCCTCTTTTTCTAAAGTACCGCTACTTTTAACTTGTCCCTTCTCATTAGTACTTCTCATTCTCTTAGACATTTTTGCCTCATCTTTTTCTATTAAAGAACCTACTGCTTGATCTTGATAAGTCTCAGAGCAATTCACTATGCTTTTCCCTTTCTGTCTTGCACTTTCTTAGGACAAGATGTGTTGTCCATTACATAAACTTTATTAACCTTGTAGTATTGTGATATTTCATTTTCCTTGTTATTGTAGTTCCTCACGTGCTTCCATACATCCTTGAGTTTCATTGATGAAATGAACGACTTCTGAAAAATTAAGCATTCCTCTTGTGTTGTTGCTTCTTTTACCATTTCTATCGTCCTAATTTTCAAAAAATTGTTCCTCGTACTACTAATTGTCAACATTTATAAAATAAGTCAAACTAATTTCACCTATGGAAGAAAAATTCAGGTATATGTATTGGTGAAAAACTAATTTCAACTAAAATATCCAACGGTTAGGACAACACATATTGTCCTAAGAAAGTGCAAGATTGAAAGGGAAAATGCATAGTGAATTGCTCTGAGACTCATCAAGATCAAGCAGTAGGTTCTTTAATAAAAAAAGATGAGGCAAAAAGGTCTAAGAGAATGAGAAGTACTAATGAGGAGGGATAAGTTAAAAGTAGAGTTACTTTAGAAAAAGAGGAGGATCATTCTTTACTTTCGAAAATAACCATAAAAGAAAAGACGACACTTGCAATGGACACCAGATCTTGATAAGAAATTAGATGAGCTTGTTTGCAAGTTAGGAGAAAAAGGTAAGGCTTAATCTGGAAGAGTTAACCATAAACGAATCAATCACTAAATTTTTGTGGTGACTTCCGAAATTTTTTATCATGGTAGAGGCCTAACCAACAAAAGGTGTGTGAGGTTTCATTCACTTTTTGACATATGTAGTATTAGTAATGCTTATATTAGTTATGTTGTCATTATTTCTTATACGATGTTTGATTTGACGCATTAGAAATAACAAGTCTAATTTAGTGTAGGTACTTTTCATTGTATGAATTTAAAATACTTGCCTTTTTCTCCTAACTGGTGAACAGTCTCGTCTAATTTCTTATCAAGATCTGGTGTCCATCGTATGAATTTAAATTACTATTTTTCACTGGAATTAGAGATTTTGCTCCAAAACCTTCAGTTTTCGACGATTCTCCGACATTTTTACAGTATCAGACGAAACTCTTTTGCTCAAATAGTTCAAGAATGTCACGTTTTCCAATAAATCGTTACGATGAGTAAAGACTAATATAAGAAGTTCGCTACCTCTATTCTTTATGGCATCAAGGTCCCCCCAATTCCACTCCATATCTACGCCAATCTCCATCCCCAAACCCCAGTGAGTCTACAGCCCTCCGGTTCTACTTAGTTCAAGAAACGAAATAAGTAAATATCGAAAAGGTTGAAGGAAGTTATAATAGATTCTAATGTTGAATGGATTTTTCCAACTCCTGCTGAATCGACTCCGATCACGAAATTTAGTTGGCCCAGTTTCACTGCACAACCTAATTCGCAACCCCATTTGCCCACTGCTGAAGAATTGGCTAGTGTTGATGGAACCGTGCTTAGCAACTAGCATTGAAGGCGGTATCATAGTATTTGAATTACTCAATTGATAATGATGATGAGGATATGTATGAGTATAAGGATGATTATGTCATGGAAGTGGATAAGGGGGAGAAAAATTTAAAATTTTTTGCGATGTTGTTTGAGGGAGATGGTGGATTGAGAGAGTATTATGAGAAGAATAGTGAGAATTATGTGGAATTTATTTGTCCTGTGTAGAGTGGGTTGGTAAGAAAGGGTGGAGTAAGAAGTTTAAGGATTGTGTGGGTCTTGTTCAGCATTCAATTACTATATTGAACATGAGGCAAGCACATAGTGTCTATGGTCAGGAGTTGAGAATGAGGATTACGAACCGTAGATCCCATCCGTGGAATTAATATTAAATTTTATCCAACGGGTTCAAACTACGAACAATAGAAGTTTTTATGGACGTAGATTCAATCCATAAAATTTATATTGAATTTTAAAGCTCAAAAGCTCATTCTATGGGTCCAAACTACGGCCCGTAGAAAGTTCCACAACCTGTAGATGGGTCCGTAGGAATTGGACACCAAAATTTGACTCTCTGAAGTTCTTCCACGACTTGGCAGTACTTTGACCCGTAGAAGGATTTCGACTTGACAGTATGCGACATCAATGTGAGTTTTAATTCTACTTTCTGACTTTTCTTTTCAATTTTCGAAATAATGATATATGCAAGAGAAAGTGAAACTTGTAGTCAATAACATAGTGCATAAAATCTCATAAATTGCAATTCAATAAGCTAAGAGGGTGTTTGGATTGGCTTAAAAGTTGGTCAAACCTACTTTTTAGTCAATTTTTGACTTCTGGAGTGTTTGGCAGATATAAAAAATAATTTAAAATAAGTCAAAAATAAATTAAAATAAGTTATAAAATGTTTGACAAGGTAAAAAATGACTTAAAATAAGTCAGAAACCAAAAGTAGGTCTCCTCCTACTTTCTATTTTTTCACTTAAAAGTCATTTCAATTTGACTTTTTATTTTTGACTTAAAAACTACTTTTTTTTAAGCCAATCCAAACGAGCTCTAAGAAAGTTCTAAAATCCTTCTTTACTACTGCTGAATGTTTCAAACCAGAAAATGACTTCATTGTCATAATAATTTGTTCTTTACTCAAAATCTAAGAGTAAAGGTTCAAAATAGTCTCTCATCTTTGGGTTAAGACTCAAAGTCATCCTTGAGTTTTCACATGCAGCATTAATAGTCCCTCATGTTTGCAATATTGGTGCACTTTTGGTCCTCCTTCAAAATTTTGCCTATTTTTTAATATTGATTTTATTCATAATTTATGTATGAAATGTTTAATTGTCATTTGATATACTTAGTAGAAATAATAACTCTGTGTGAGAGATTGTGAGAAGAAAAATACCTTATTTTATTTAGTAGAAATTGTATTGCACGTAAAGTCGATTGTGAGAAGAAAAATACCTACAAGACGATGAGACATTCCTTACATAAAATTATGAACATAATTAATGTTAAAAAATAGGCAAAAGTTTAGAAGAGAACCAAAAGTGCACCAATATTGCAAACATGAGGACTATCAGTGAAAACTCAAGGATCTGAACCCAAACATGAGGACTATTTTGGGTCTTCTCTCCAAAATCTACAGTATATTAGTCAGCTGATGATATTCAAAGCTCATCATCAATGGCGGCCTCCTCTTCCATTTTCTTAGTTTATTTCTTTCTACCCTTATTTTCCACAGCAACCCTCCACAGTTCTTCTCTTTATAGATCCCAACTCATCACTCAGCAAGAATCTTTACCCAAAAGTGCCACCCCCATAACTTTTTTTGAAGTCACAAAACCTATAAAATTACCCAAAACCAAACCTTGTTCATACCTAATTCTTGAACATGATTTTGGTTCCACTTACAGAAAACCCCCAATTCTTGCTAATTACACACCCCCTTTAAATTGCCCATCTCAGAAATTTTCCAAGATTGTGCTGGAATGGAGAGCAACTTGTAAAGGTAGGCAATTTGATAGAATTTTTGGTGTTTGGGTTAGTGGGGTTGAGATTTTCAGAAGCTGCACTGCTGAACCAACTAAAAATGGGATCTTTTGGACTGTCCAGAAGGACATTACTAGATATTCTTCTTTGCTTTTGAAAAATCAAATCTTTGCTGTTTATTTAGGGAATATTGTTGATAGTACATATACAGGTGTGTACCATGTGGAAATTTTTGTTCATTTTTATCCTGCTGAAGTGAAATTGGGTAAATTTGATTCTGGGGCTGATTTGATTGTTCCCATTTCAAGAAATATGCATTTGAATGATGGGTTGTGGTTTGAGATTGAAAATTCAACAGATGTACAGTCGAAGGATTTCAAGATTCCCCCAAATGTGTATAGGGCTGTATTGGAAGTTTATGTTTCATTTCATGAGAATGATGAGTCTTGGTATGGGAATCCACCTAATGAGTATATCAGTTCGAATAATCTTACTATCGCGGGGAATGGAGCTTTCAGGGAGGTGGTGGTTAGTTTGGATGAAATGGTAGTTGGTGTAGTTTGGCCTTTTACTGTGATCTATACTGGGGGTGTTAATCCCCTCTTTTGGAGACCGATTAGTGGAATTGGATCGTTCGATCTTCCTTCTTATGACATTGAATTTACCCCGTTGTTAGGAAAGATTTTAGATGGAAATAGTCATAAGATTTCATTTAGAGTCACGGATGCTCTGAACGTGTGGTATGTTGATGCAAATTTGCATCTTTGGTTGGACGGGAAAAGTAAGAAAACGGAAGGGAAGTTGTTGAGATACAGCTTATTGCCCCTTTCTTTATCAGTGCTGACCAATTTTACAGGTTTTGATGGATCCTTTATCACAAACGCTAGTAGGTCCATCACATTGACCGGAATGGTGAAGTCATCTTATGGAACAATCACTACTAAGTCGTCTCAAAGTTTAAGTTATAGCAACTATATGGTAATGGGGAATGAAGGGAACTTGCAAATAGTGGATCAGATAATCGAATTCAATGATACTGTTTATGCCACGACGCCATCTTCTTCTGTTCACTCGCTTGAGTCCTTCAAAAAGTATCTGTTCAAGTGGTATTCTGACAATGTAGATCAAGGAAACCAAAGTTATGCCTCGATATCAAACTTGACATTGGGATTAGAGGACAAGAGGGTAAAGGCTTCCAAGTACGGATCCTCGACCAGCTCTGTTAATAATTTGCAAAAAGCGCAGGGCAATATGCTTGTAAAAGGCCAGTTAGTAGTAAAAGGACTTGGGAGTACCCAACAAGTATATAAATATAACGATGATTTGTACTGCTACTCCAGGAACATAAGCAGCTCAAATTACACGATACTTTACGATAAGGTAAGCAATAGCTGCAGCAAGAGTACTTGGTCTCGTTTGCCTTTGAAGATTGGCAAAAGGCTGTCTCTTCCTAGTTGAAGAGTCTTTTTTGCAATCTCATCTTGACTTTTCCGAATTCCACTGTCTTTCACTCATTTGCTGCTGGAGCTACTCTATGTGGTCGAAGTAGGCAACTGTTCATGGTCTTCTTTTTTTTATTCAAATGCACCACTCAGTGCCTCTTGTATTCTTGGACTCGTTAACTTTGTTGATATATGTTGTTTTGCTAAATGAATTGTCTCTGAAACTTGGCTTTGCCTATTTATCTTTTGTTGTACGTCTTTCTTCAAACACGAGGAAATTTTCGTATTTTTGTCAAAGTTTGCAGGCCTACAATCCTTGAGAAATTGGTGGCTTCTCTTTGCTCCTGTTTCACCCCTCTACTGCCACTCTATTGGTTTTGGGAGGGGGAGGAAGTTGGAGATTTGTATAAAGTGCAACTTCGTAGACGTTCTTACTATATAACGCTATATGTTCATGAGAAGAACTTTGTTCAGCTTTCAATGACTTGGGCATTGCCAACATTGTTGCATGAAAGTATACTAGGTTTCTCTTCCTATTGGCTCAACGCAAAATGTTTCTGGCTGAAGAAGCAACAAAAGCTATATTTTGGAACTTCATCTTCTCCTTAGCTCGAAGCTATATTCCTGCCAAGGTAGGGATAAGGTCTGCGCACACTCTACCCTTCCCAAACCCCATTTGTGGGACTATACTGTGTATGTCCGTCTTCTTGTTGTTGTTAGCTTGAAGCTATATTCTGTGGTATTGTCTTATGAACTTGATAAATCTTGATTTAGTGGGAGCAAGTATAAATCTTATTTGATCTGTAATCCTATGTTCCAAATGGAAAGATCATTACTTGATACTTTGATTACTTCCGTCTGTTGTTTCTTGTACTTCAACTATTATACTATTTTGTGGTTACAATATTGTTCTGTTACTATTTTTCTTGTACATCAGACTGAAAATGCAAATTCGAAACTTTTGATTAAGAACTGAGTAGTAACCACAACTTTTCTTTCGGGATGTAACTATCTCTTAGATACATAAAGGTAGTGACACAATAAATCTCCATCCTTTTTATTTTTTTACCAATTTTCATCTGGATCAATAAAACATGTATATCTTATTTTTCTTAGCTTATACGATATTATTTCTATTTTTGAAATTAAACAATTTTTATAATGTCCGAATTCGCCTTGATACTATTTTAAAATTACTCACTTTTATCATGTGTTATGCTTTTGATCCATTCATATATTCATGTTATTAGTAGTATTCACCCTTACGATTAACGAAGCTCCAAATTGAAATGAGTGAACTTCACTTGTCTAAATTGACCACCAAATTTAACTATAATCTAAAATCGCGCTCGAATCGAAATTTATTAGGAATCAAGGGCAAAAATGAGACTTTTTCCTTACAATGTAATATTAGATCAGAAGTTTGACGGAACACAAAATGCTCAATTTTGAATAATGCAACGAATTTTTATTTTTTTTTACCAATTTTGCTTTCTTTAAATTTTGTTTTTTCAAAAAAACTATTTTCAAATACTTATAAATTTTTGTGATTGGTATTTCTTTACATGATAATTCTTAAGAAAACTAAATGATGTTTTTATTAAAGAAAAACATTTTTACGAAAAATAAAACACATTTTCTTAACGGTATATATATATATATATACACACACTATCTAAACAAATTTTTTTCTCTCCATTTTTTTGGCAGTTAATCGATTTATTTTGTTTGTTACTTAATTTTATTATATTATATTATTAAGTTCATTGCTATCTAACGATAAAAAATATCATTTTATGTAACAATCGATCTGATATGATCATGCAATACCTCATCTTCTTATCTTGATTTATTATCTAATAATCTTATTTTATCTTACCTTCTACCATTTTATCGTAGTTCTTTCTAGTACTACACTTTACTTTTTATTATTATATAAATTTATCTTTAAATTATGAGGTATAATATTGTGTAATGATCGAAATACGTAACAACCATCTAAACAATTTCTTATATATTATAACAACCATATAAGTTGTTACAATTTTCTTTTTTCCCCTTATTTTATCTTGATTTATTATCTAATAATCTTACTTTATGTTATATTCTACCATTTTAATGTGGTTCTTTCTAGTCTAGTACTCTTTTTATATATATATATATATACTCTTTTGATTCTAGCCTATCGCATATGGCTTATTTAGTGCAATTTATATCTCATGTATGATTTGCAGGCTATTACATAGTGGGGGTTTACCCACAAATTGTCATCCAAAGGATAAAGGCTATGACAAAAATTATAGCGGCTATGAATTATATTGCGGTTTAAAAAAAATATTATGTAACGATGGAAAACCGTAGGTAACCACCATTTCTTATATGTTATAACAATTTTTTTTTCTTTTTCTTTTTTTGGCAGTTATTAGCCAGTTTATAAAGGGTGATCCAATAAGGGGGAAAACAAGAAAGATAAGGAGAGCAGAGGGAGTCCACTTTCTCCCTCAATCAAATGGCTATGGTTTTTTCTCCATTAACATCAAGGTTTGAGCTTTTTACTATACCCATTTCTTCCCTTTTTCACATTCCCATTTCTCTATTATAACTCAGTTTTTTGCTAATTTACCTAATTTTTTGACTTAATGCATTTTCTGGGTTTTTCTCCATTAACAACAAGAATTGAGCTTTTTTCTACACAAAGTTCTTCCCTTTTTCACTTTTCCATTTCTGTATTTTAACTCTTTTATAGTGAATTCTTTTCTCTGTGCAGAATTTTCGACTTAATGTATTTTCTGGGTTTTTTATGCAGTGGGTGTAGTAGTTATTGCAATCTTGGATTAAGCTGGAAATCGTCGAGCTTGTTTGTGGAATTAGGGTTTCTTTCAAATGGGTCAAAAGGGGTTTCTGCTAAACCCGCAAAGCTCAATGCTAGTAAAGTTTTTCGGGCTTGTGCTTCTTCTTCTTCCTCTGGTATAAATCTATAGCCCCTGTAGTTGACTTTTTGTTTTCTTCATGTATTTGTGTTCTTTATATATAGTTACATTTTTTCACATTGCTCAAATTTTTTGTTTGGTTATAGTAACTTGAGTTTATCACTGTTAGTTTATTTCGTATGATGATGATATGAAATGAGCTAAAATGAAGAAGTGAAGATTCATATAGCCGACTCTGACTTGTTTGGGATTAAGGCGTTGTAGTAGTAATTGTTGTTGTTATAGTAAGGAGTACTCTGTCTGTCTCGATGTAAATGACAGAGTCATGTAGTAGGCTTGAAGTACCTGATTTTCTGTGTGCATTCAGGTATGATTCCGTAATTTTTGGGTAAAGTTTAAATATTTAGGAACTAGATTGAGGTAGTATAGTAAAACATAATGTTTAAACGATGTTGAAGAACCATAGTTGAAGGAAATTCTTTGTGACTACATGTTATAGTAATTCAGGAGTAAAATGAGTTGGAGGGAGTAACATCTGTTTACCCTTTGGTGTAGATTTTGGTAAGATACTCAGTCCTAGTAAACTATGGTTCTGGTTTTCTATTGAGTAAATCAGGATCTTACGTCTTAGCAAATGGGCTTTTGAGGTGGATGGAATTGTGTATCGTATTTGATGATGGAAAGGGAGAAAGAGCTAGCTTTCTGCAGAATCAAGCATCCTCGATCAAGCTCGAGTCTTGACTACATTAGTCCAACCGTTAGCGCATCCATTGCTACACAAGTACACATTGCTAGCATAGAAATCACAGGCGGAAAGAGAGAGTAGTAGTTGTAGTAGCACAGGCGGATGGTTCTATGAAGATGGATTGTAGTGCTTAATTAGGGTGTCTGTGAAAAGGCAAGAAGCTAGAGAAGTTCTTAGAAGATGGATCACTTTGTTCAGTTTTCCTAAAATTGTAGTTACGAGCAAGCTGCAACTTTTTTGGCGAGGATTCAGAATGGAACTTATCTCTTGTCTTATGATTCTTTGTGCTCTTACAGCTGGGGTTTGTGTGGGTATTGTTTGTTGTATTGTGTAAGATTTACCATCCCAGACCCCACTTGTGGATTACACTGGGTATGTTGTAGTTATCATTGCTGTGTAGCATTACATTTTCTCAAATACTTTTATCACTCTTAGAACTTGGTGTAAACAATAGAGTACCCTTATAATTATATCTTGACCACTATGACATGTGTAATGATTATTTCATATTAGTACCTTCTTACTGAATGGCTAATATATTTCTCACTGTGCTTGGCATCACCTATTGCATCCCGAACCGTCTCAGAATCCACACCACAAGCAAACTGCCATCATTCTCATTATTATTATTAACCTTAAACATATCCCTGCCTCCCCCGAACTTGTTGGAAAATCCTCCTTGCACATCTTGACTTTGCAGGTGCATCTTTAGATACGCCATCTTGTAAAAAGTAGATCTGAGACCCTCTTGCACTGTGTTAGACCATTGTAAAGTGGGGTTGTAGCTTATGATTGTATCTCTGGTAGAATATTAGATCTAGTTTTGTTTACGTTGCAGTCTTAAAGAATGTGTCTTCAGAATTTCAATTACTCCCTCTCTTCCATAATGAGCAAATACTGAGATAAACTGATAAAACTTAAAACGGTGCTCTAGTCACAATTCAAGGTGTTAACTGTTCATAGTGGGACCATGTTGCTTAGTTGCTATTGGTTTACTTGGTCTTGCCAGATCCTAAAACTACATTATAGATACCCAAATAATGCAAAAGTTTTCTCCTTGTAAGAGTGTATGCTGTTTACGTGCCTATAAGCTCTTTCGTCCCTTTGCGCCGGAGAGGGGGATTGGGGGTTAGTTCAAGCTATCAGGTTTTCTGTGTCACTTCAGTTCATCTTTCAGATTCTTTGTGGGGAACTCAACTTTGTGCTTCCAAATGTATATTTTTCAGATCCACTTTTGGTGAAGGCTGCAAGAAGAGAACGGGTGAGTCGCCCGCCTGCATGGATGATGCGTCAAGCGGGAAGGTATATGGCTGTTTACAGAAAGCTTGCGGAGAAACATCCATCCTTCAGAGAGAGATCAGAGACAACTGATCTCATTGTGGAAATTTCTTTGCAACCCTGGGAAGCTTTTCATCCAGATGGAGTAATCATCTTTTCGGACATACTTACCCCACTACCTGCATTTGGTGTCCAATTTGACATTGAAGATGTAAGAGGCCCAGTCATTCAGTCTCCCATTCGTTCTGAAGAGGGATTGAAATCATTGCACTCTA